TGTCCCTGAGCGGGGAGGGTGATGGTCAGTGTGTGTGTCCCTGAGCAGGGAGGGTGATGGTCAGTGTTTGTGTCCCTGTGCAGGGAGGGTGATGGTCAGTGTTTGTGTCCCTGAGCAGGGAGGGTGATGGTGAGTGTGTGTGTCCCTGAGCGGGGAGGGTGATGGTCAGTGTTTGTGTCCCTGAGCAGGGAGGGTGATGGTCAGTGTTTGTGTCCCTGAGCAGGGAGGGTGATGGTCAGTGTGTGTGTCCCTGAGCAGGGAGGGTGATGGTGAGTGTGTGTGTCCCTGAGCAGGGAGGGTGATGGTGAGTGTGTGTGTCCCTGAGCAGGGAGGGTGATGGTGAGTGTTTGTGTCCCTGAGCGGGGAGGGTGATGGTCAGTGTGTGTGTCCCTGAGCAGGGCGGGTGATGGTGAGTGTGTGTGTCCCTGAGCAGGGAGGGTGATGGTGAGTGTGTGTGTCCCTGTGCAGGGAGGGTGATGGTCAGTGTGTGTGTCCCTGAGCAGGGCGGGTGATGGTGAGTGTGTGTGTCCCTGAGCGGGGAGGGTGATGGTCAGTGTGTGTGTCCCTGAGCGGGGAGGGTGATGGTCAGTGTTTGTGTCCCTGTGCAGGGAGGGTGATGGTCAGTGTTTGTGTCCCTGAGCGGGGAGGGTGATGGTCAGTGTTTGTGTCCCTGAGCGGGGAGGGTGATGGTCAGTGTGTGTGTCCCTGAGCGGGGAGGGTGATGGTCAGTGTTTGTGTCCCTGTGCAGGGAGGGTGATGGTCAGTGTTTGTGTCCCTGAGCGGGGAGGGTGATGGTTAGTGTGTGTGTCCCTGAGCGGGGAGGGTGATGGTCAGTGTGTGTGTCCCTGTGCAGGGAGGGTGATGGTCAGTGTGTGTGTCCCTGAGCAGGGCGGGTGATGGTCAGTGTGTGTGTCCCTGAGCAGGGCGGGTGATGGTCAGTGTGTGTGTCCCTGAGCAGGGAGGGTGATGGTCAGTGTGTGTGTCCCTGTGCAGGGAGGGTGATGGTCAGTGTGTGTGTCCCTGTGCAGGGAGGGTGATGGTCAGTGTGTGTGTCCCTGAGCAGGGAGGGTGATGGTCAGTGTGTGTGTCCCTGAGCGGGGAGGGTGATGGTCAGTGTGTGTGTCCCTGAGCAGGGAGGGTGATGGTGAGTGTGTGTGTCCCTGTGCAGGGAGGGTGATGGTGAGTGTGTGTGTCCCTGTGCAGGGAGGGTGATGGTGAGTGTGTGTGTCCCTGAGCAGGGAGGGTGATGGTCAGTGTTTGTGTCCCTGAGCAGGGAGGGTGATGGTGAGTGTGTGTGTCCCTGAGCAGGGAGGGTGATGGTCAGTGTGTGTGTCCCTGAGCAGGGAGGGTGATGGTGAGTGTTTGTGTCCCTGTGCAGGGAGGGTGATGGTGAGTGTGTGTGTCCCTGAGCAGGGAGGGTGATGGTCAGTGTGTGTGTCCCTGTGCAGGGAGGGTGATGGTGAGTGTGTGTGTCCCTGAGCAGGGAGGTGCTGATGGGTGCTTGTGTCACTGACTTTGTGCATTCAGCATCACCTGAACAGCTCTGACTCCTCTGGGCAGGTTGTGGGCTGCAGGGGACGCATCGAGATAAACCCAAGAGACACAATGAGCAAGGAGTCCAGCATAATTGGAGTCAGTCTGTTTCTTGCAACTGAGGTGAGAAGCGCTTCTGTTTCTAAGTATGCTTTATTGACTTGTTCCAGCACCCTTCTATTTACAGTTAAAATTATTTGGAGGAATGAAAGAATAATTTCACTGTAACAAACTTGTTAGTTCATTCCTTTATGTTTTGATTCAATCTCAGAACATCATAAAACATTTTCAGGTTGTGGAATTTGCTTAAATTATTGCATAAATTGCCAATAGTATTCTGAAATGCAAAGACCTTGTCATAAACACTGTGTTTGTTGCATGCAGGAGGAAAGGCGTGAATGTGCCACAGCAGTCCTTGATGGCATAGAAGCTGGCTGGCTGAAACCAGTTGTGGGCTTGGAATATCCCCTGGAGAAAGTAGCCAAGGCTCATGAAGACATTATGTGTAGCAGTGGTGCCCGAGGGAAGATGGTGCTCCTTCTATAAAGGAGCACCCTTTTCCATTTATTTTGTAGCTGTTCTACCTGCACCTTTGCTTACATGGTTCACTGAATGTATGTTACAAACCTTTGATCATGTTTGACAGTAGCAGAAAATGCTCACTTAGATGAATTAGTTAACATTTTCTTTTTGTAATAAGCAGAGTTGCATTTACTGTAATGTAATTTTGGTAGCTTTTTTGATTGATGTGGCAATAATAAATTTTCTCTGCTGGCGTACTTTGTGCTGCAGGGAATGGTGGGGTTTGGTATCATGGAACATGTGAAGGCAGAGCGAGGCCACTGTAGGTAACAGAATGAAGATGCTTTTGACAGATACACAAAAGTAAACAACTCACTATGTGTGTTAGTTAGAACTGTAAATTCTTTTAGCCACAAAATGTGTACTCAAATTTTGTACTCAAATTTTGTCACGTAATTTACTTGAAATTAAAGCTTTTACTGACAAAATAGTTTACTTTCCAGCTCAAAAGATGGGCAGAATCTCTCAAACGTGAACTGTTTGGAGCCGAGGCAGTTGTGCTTGTCTGTGCCTCTGAGGCTGAGGTGACAGCATCCCGGCCCCTCCAGAGGGACTGTCACTCTGGAGCTGCGTGCTGGGATTTGCCTCTTTGGAAATGACAATCATGACCGAAGCAGCTCATTTCTGGATGGTGAATGGCTGAGTGGGAAGATTTCAGTTCTTCCTATGAGCTTTAATAAAAGTCTCCTGGATCCCTGGCTGCCCTGAGAGCGGAGGGGAGAGTGGAGGCTGCATGGCTTTGTGGCAGGAGAGTTCCTGTGAAATTGCTGAAATTCCAGCTGCTGAAGTGGGCAGGGCACAGCCTCAGCACCAGGGCTGTGTGCAGGTGTCTATGTGGGGGCACTTGGCCATGACACCGGGGTCATTTCATTGGGTCTTGTTCTCATGAACCTTCAGTCCATTGCACAACAGGTGGTGTTGCCAGGAAAGATGGGGGAATGTTTGTAGAGTTAATAATTTCCATTTAGTGTTTCAGTGAGTGGTTTCAGAAAGCTGCCTGGGGAGAGAAGGACGAGGCCAGCTCAGCTGTGGGCCTGTCTGCCAAGGTGCAGTGGGCTCCTTCCTCCCTCCGGGCTGCCCCAGGGCACTGAAGCTGGTTTTGTTCCTAGCACTTCCCACAGCAGTAGGGAGCTGTGTTTTTAAGTGAAGATTTAAGTGATTCACCTGGTGTAAGGGGTGTGTAGCTAGTGTCTCTGCTGATTATCCAGGTGAAAGGTGCTGACTGCTCCTGCTGTCTCAAGCAGAATGTGGCCTGAGCAGTGGTGTCAGTTGGGAACCTGCTATTGCTCTTGACAACTGTTAGAGAAAGTAAAACATCTCTTAATATCAAAGTACTAAACAGAGGTTAAAAGTAATGGTTAATGACATATGATTGTGGAGATGATGTGCATAAAAAGTATATACCTTTCTCCTATATTCTGTATTCAAATAATATTTTTAATTCAGTCTCAATTTAGTAGGGGTACATGACATGAATGAGAGTCTGATGGTTTGCAGTGGCTCCTTTCTTGCTTAGTGCTGCCACTGCATCGTGGAAGATGTTTAGAGGAGAAATTCAGAGCAAGTCTCTGGTGTGCCCTCCTCGTTGTTGTCCCAAGGGCCGAGGTTGCAGTGGGGTTTGTCACCAGAAGGTGTCAGAGCAGCTCTGTGTTAGCACATCATCACAGGGTGCCAGGTGACCTGGCAGAACGGCACAGCAGGACTGGGCTGACTTGCTGGCAGTGTCGTATAACGTTTATTCTTCTGTCAATTTCCAATGTATTGTATAAGTTGAAGGGTTTTTTTTTAACTTTGGAAGAAGTACTGTGGATAGAACTAATGAGGTATGTCTGATTTGTGCAAGCCACCAACCTAGGAAATGCCATCCTGGAGAGTCCTTGGTTTCGCTCTCCTTTTGGGACATGCTGCTCCTTGGCAGTGCAGAAAAGGGTGAGGAAGAGAGTGGGGGCCACAGACCATTGAATTTGGCGGAATAATTATCTCAGTTTGTTGAGAATCTTCTCCTGATTTGACTGGACGGGATTTTGGAGGCAGTGATTCCCCATTGCAGCCTGCTTGGTGCTGCCGTGGGTGATTGGAAGGGCTGAACAGGCTCTTGTATTTGTGCCGATTTTGGCACCTGCAGGAGAGGTTTGGGGTTCAAAGTGAGGAGTTGTGTGCAATGCAAGCTCTGGAAGCTGCTGTTCTATGTGTTTCTAAAACACAAAAGAGTGGAATTGTTCTGAAAAGCAGCTGCTCTTGGTTAATCTCATCGTGCCCCAACTAAAGAAGCTGCTGGGGAGGGTCCAGCAGAGGGTCGCAGAGATGATGAGGCACATTGCGTCTGAAGCATCTCTGACGCTGAGAGACTGCCCGAGGCGGGCGTGCTTGGTGTGGAAAAGAGACAGCCGAGAGAGGATCTCACCAATCCGTACAGATATATCCAGGGGCTGTCACAGAATGGTGCCGGGCTCTGCTCAGTGGTGCCCAGCGACACGATGAGGAGCAGTGGCCGTGACCTAAAGCACAACAAGTTCTACCTCAGTGTGAGAGAGAACTCTCCACGGAGGGTGACAGAGCTCTGGAAGAGCTGCCTGGGGAGGGTGTGGGGCCATTCCACACCCACTTGTGTGCGTTCCAGTGCAACCTGTCCCAGGTGACCCTGCCTTGGCAGGGGATTGGGCTTGGCCTCTCCAGAGGTCCCTTCCAACCCCAGCAGTTCTGGGGTTCTGTGATTCTGGGGCTGCGGGCGGAGCACCGGCCGTCTCCCGTTTCTCCCTCCCCTTTGCGCGTCTCTGCCTTCCTTCCTCCCGTCCCTGCCTCCCTCGTCCCTCCCTCGTCCCTCCCTCCGTCTCCTGGCGACGCCCGGGACGCGCCGGTGCCGGAGCCGCGCTGTCCCGGCTGTCCCCGCTGTCCCCGCTGTCCCCGCTGTCCCCGCTGCCGCTGCCATGAGCGCGCCGCAGCCGCGGTGAGTGGGGCCGGGGCCGGTCCGTGCCGCCTTTGGGCGCTGCGGGAGCCGTGCCGGGCTCGGGGCCGCGTCCCTGCGGCCCGCTGGGGCAGAGAGCGGGGCTGGGGCAGAGAGCGGGGCTGGGGGGGCGCTGCCTGCCTGCAGAGCCGGGGCTCCGCTCGGTAAGGCCTCCTCTGCGCAGGGGCATGGAGCCGTGGGGAAGGGGCTGCCGCCTGCAGGTGAGTCCCTGGTTACCTGCCTTCCGACCTGCAGGTGTTGAGTTCAGAGCATCCGGACTCCCCCCAGCTGATGTCACAGACAAACAGCGAGGAACAGAGAATCTCTGCAGGGCTCTGTGACAGAATTTGGCACATCCTGGCATAGTGGGCGATGATCTGAGTAAGCAAGCAGCGTAGAACTTGCTCCTGGGCCGCACAAGAGATCAGTAGCAGAACGCTCCTTTGGCTCCCAATTCCGTGTGCGGTTGTGAGGCTTAAAACTTCCTCTGGGGGGGTGGATGGCACACGGGTGCCAGGTGGAGCACAGGCACCATGGTGCCCTGTGACTGCCAATTAATAACTGAAGCTTTGGTGCTCTCTTCCATCATTTATTTGGTGATCTCCAATTTAATTGCACTGTGAAATATTAACTGTGAATGTTTGCTTTACAAAACACATAGGATGCCTGCTGTGGCTTTGTTTTGATATCCTTCCAAATGAGTGAGAGCGGTCTTAAAATTTACCATGGTACACAGCTCTGGCTCTGAGTGTAGGGCTTTGGGTCAGCTGCCAGCTGAGAACAAATATACTGTCAATAAATAATAGTGTCGATGATCATAGCATCATAGAACTCTAAATAACCTCAAATATAAAATTACTGACCTAAGAGTGACATGTTGTCACTGGCTGCGATGCCAGAGAAACAAACATGACACTCATCTTGGGAAGAGCGTTAGACATACTCCAGGAATCTACAGATCAGTCAGTTTAGGTTCTGTGCCAGGAAAATTGTCTGCTGTTCTAATAAAACCCCAGCATTTTTAGAGAGAAGAATGAACAGGATAAATGGGCAGAGATAAAGGAGTCCCAGGAATACCCAGAAAAGGGATGTGATTACTGTGACACACAGGCTGTATAGAGCTGTCTGAGGCTGGTGCTTTCCCTTTGCTGTGTTTTTTCCTAACATGGATTTTGTCAGTTCTGCACTTCTGCCTCTTGCAGAGGTTTTAAAGGTGACTTTTGTGTGTGGTTCTTTAATACCGGAACCTTGAACAAGACAGCTCAGACAAGAGCTTCTCTTGTCCTTGTGTAGATACTGGAGCAGGCTAAACGGGAGCAGTGGTTGCTTTGCTGGAGTGTTCCTGAAATATAAAATTACCCCCAGGCACTGGTCCATGCCAGCATTTATGGCTGCAGGAGGTTCCAGGGCTGGAATTGTGGCACAGCCAGACCCTGGCGGGCCTGCTTGCATTCCTTACAATGATTTCATGGATGTTGGCTCAGGCCCAACACAATTCCTTATTTCCTCTCATACCCTTTTGAACTCTGAATTTAATTCAATATATTTGAAGGCCAGCCTGTTCATAATTTAAATGAGAAAATACATGTTCTGAGACTTTGGTGAAACAGAAATTGCCACATCACTGTGTTCAGATGGGAGCTGCATTTTAACTAGCTATGTGGTCCAGGATGTCTTAGGTGGAGGGGTAAATTAAAAGGAGTTGGATTGAGTTTCTCCTCTGCCTCAACATGCAGCTGCCAGGTGATACCATAAATTAATACTTAGCAGAATTGGTAGAATCTGGTGGTTTCAAATGCAAACTCTGGATTAAAAAGGTAACATAGAGCAGTTGCTATAAATACCAGTATTTAACCAACAGGCATAAAAGGGTAACCTACATTGTTTATTTAAAGTTTAATTTATTGTGGGCAGCTACCTTTGAGTGAAATCCTATGTAAAATTCCTGTAAATCCATGATCTCTTTACTTCAAAGCATTTCTCCTTTCTTTCCTTGAATATGCTTTTGTGTGTGGCAGATCAGCCTGGCAATAAACATATAACTGAGTTATCCAGCTGAAAGGGATGTAATAGAGGCACAGTGCATTTAAATCTACAGCAAAGAAAACAAAACAGTTCAGTCTCTTGTGTAACTTGAGCCCAGAGAGCCTAGAGATCAGTCTGAACATATTATGTGACATGTACCTGACTGTGCAGACTGTACAAATGTGAAAGGATTTTGAGTATTACCAACTGCATCCTAGTGTCACTGACTTCTCTATTTGTCCTGTTTTCCAGACGGGGAAGTAAGATATGTTGTGCATTTTGTGTAGTAAACTGTGGGTAGCTCTGTTCAATGTAGTCTGTAATAATTTGTCAGTCAAGGAGATTATAGACATCTCCATTTTTTATTGCAGTATTCTTGAAACCTATAACAGTCTTACAGACAAACACCTAGTGGGATATTTCAGCAATGCCAGGATAAGACGACATCTTCAGAAATCAGGACTGGTGAGACTGAAAACTTTTCCTCAATTCTACATTCAATTCAAAATGTTTTTATGCTTTTTTCCCCCCAAATATTTCCTTTTACTCATTCGAGTTTCCCTCTGCAAAGTGTTTCAGTTTGCAGATATACAGAATCACATTGGTTCACTCATGGTTTTTACACTGTGAAATGTAAGCATCTTTGGCTAGTTTAAATAGCTTCAGTGTTATTTTTCGGAAGTATTTAATGGAAAACTGAAGGATTTGGTAAAGGTGAATAAGCTGGACATTTTGTTAAACACCTGGTGCCCTCCTGGGCGTGACTCGTTTGCACAGAGAGGTGCAGCAGGGCAGCGGGTGTTTGATCCTTCCCACCCCGTGGCCTGTGGAGGGTGAGGCTGAGCCCTGGGCTGTCAGAAACGCGGCTGCTGCTCCTTCCCTGGGGCTGGGGGAGCTCACGGGGTCAGAGATAGCGCAGTGCTGGAAGGGGAGCTCCTCACCACGGCAGGGCAGAGGGAAACAAACCAGAGCGACGGAGTGGTGTGCTGGGAACCTGCACCAAACCAGAGCGAGGGAGCGGTCTGCTGGGAAACTGCATTGTTTCAAAACGCACTTTATTTCATCTCCTCCTTTTCAGTAGCATTCTGTTTGTGCACGGCAGATCTCCAGGAGCGGCAGAATCATACCGGAGAAGGAATACCGCCTCAATGCCATAAGGAGGGACCACCAGAGACACGTCCAGGGCTGCTTGGCTGATGCCATATATCACAAGGTCCTTGACATTGAGGTGTGCCCTTACTGAGTGAGCCTGTTGTTGTCTTGTTGTTGTATTTCTAAAGTCCCGTACTGTCGCAACCATATTTCTAAAGTCTTGTAGCTTCTCGGTGATACTTCTTGGGGGCAGTTCTTCACAGCTCTGACTTCTTCTCCTGCTTGTTGCTCCTTCTTCGTCAGGGCTCCTTATCAGCTCAGCTTGACTGGCCAAGCCCAGCCCCTTTTATCCCAGTTATCTTCACTAGCTAAAACTGCAGCCCAATTAAGGACATTGCAGCTGCAGCCCATCAAAAACAACCGGGGCTTATCAGGGCAAGGCCCATATACAGATATTCAATATACAATACAGATATTTTACTAAGACTCCTACTATATGAGCCTTCTCGGGTGTTTCCCCACTGACAGCCAGGGGCTGCTGACGTGTACTGGGCTGTTCTCCATGTGTGCCCTCGTGCTCCCTGGAAGGCTCTTTCCTGCTGGGGAAAAGGACAGACTTTGTGCTTGAGGCTCCCCACGTGAAACCTCCGTGGGCCTCTCACTGTCACACCATGCTATTGTGAGAGCAGGCACTGTCCTGCCTTCCTTATTGCTTTCTGACAGCTCTCAGATTATGAGATGATATTCACAGGGCTAGTTTGCTTAACAAAATTCTGATAAAAACAAACCAGTTTGAACATATTTATATATATGCTCTCTGAGTGCAAAATCTGGGCACATTCCTATGGGATATCAGGAATGGAGCTGGTTCCTACAACTTTACCAACTGTACCAGTGCTCAGTTGTTCCCTTGGCTGTGTGAATACATGCAGGTGAAATGCAAAGAGATTCAATACACAGTAGTTTTATTAGAGGGCTCACTGAGAGCAGTGGCCAGGGAGAAGGCATGGGACAAGCAGGACAGAAGCAAGAGTTCTTGCACACACTGACATCTCATGATGGCCAGTAATGGGATTTCTCTTCCTCTTGTATTGATAGCATCATCATCAGCTGGGGATTAACAGGAGACTTGATTGTTCTGCCAGGAAAGAGACGATGCAGTCAGCCAAGGTAAGGCTTCAGCAGTTTGGCTGTGTTGGGTGGTAACCGTGGGCCTGACCAGTGGTTCATTGAGACAAGTGCTCTGTCTCTGATGTGGACAAATACAAGAAACAGGCAAACAGAGGATGATCCCGCCCCAGTTACATCTCCTTTGTCCTTTGTCCAGAAGTTCAGGAGCTTCCATTTATGCATTTAATTCCTTCTGAATCTAGTTATTCCTCTACTTCTGCAGTGCTCTTGGTTGGGTGATTTAATAATGAATTGCATGAAATGGTATCTCCTTGCATTTCTGCATAGTAATAAATGTATCTGCTGTCTGATATGTCTGTTCGATGCTCCATTGTTCTCGGTATGACAAAAGTTATTAAGTGTTGTTTTTTTTTCCAAGGCGTCTGTGGTTTTACATATGTTCTTCTCATTCCTTCTCAGTTTTCCAAGCTGAAGGTCCTCAGTCTGAATTTTTCTTAGGTGAACCACTCCAGGCTTCTCATTACCGTTGTTATTTTTTTACCTTTTCTCGTTCTACTATTTCTGTTTTGAAATGTGGAGCCACACCAGAATGAATAATTCAAGATATGTTCTCCTCCCAGTAATTCTAGACCTCTCTGCTTTTGACTGCTGATGAGCACTGAGTTCGTGTGTTTGGTTGTTTGCCTCTCCACAGGATTTGGGCAGAACTGGCATGTGAGAAATCAGAGAGTTTTAGGAGTCTTCATTTAGCTGTCATGTAGGTTGAACTTGATTCTCTAGTTACAGTCATGGAAATCCCATAGAAGTCAATGATTCTTCTCCCCATGCAATCACCTGAATTCATACGGGAAAAGTCATCCTCATTTTGGCAGAAACATGCTCAGAATTTTATTTCTGTATTAGGAACCTGAGTGCTTTGAGAAGAGTGCCTTGAGAAGGTGGCTGCTTCATTGAGCAGCTGGTAAACAATGTCAGGTGTGTTAAACTGTAAATAATACATCTATAGGCAAATCATGGGGTAGAGAGAGGAGGAGATTTTCCTGAAAGACACTGGTCACTATGGAAATTGCAAAGGTGTCATTTGCTGATGGAACTCCTGTGGTAGGGAGTCACCCCATGGAAGCAGTGATTCAGGCACCTTGTCAAGGGATCCTGGGCTGGAATAATTTTGGAACGTAAACCAGAACTGCTTCCTTGAGAAAGACACCTGCAGACACCTGATCTGTGTGTGCTGTGCTGCCATGCTGGGTGCAGGAGCCTGGCTGGAGCCAGTGGTGTAATTGAATTCTCGCCTCATCTGTTCAGTGAATTCATCTGAGTCGCTCACCTGAAAGGAAAGGAGAAAGGCAGATGGCTGAGCAAGGGAGGGTGAGAGGCAGAGCTGTCTGTTTGCAGGGGGGCAGCCATCCCAGCACTGGGCTGCTGAGGTGAGAAGGTGGGGAGAGGCTGCAGTCACTGCAGGAAAGCGGCAGGCGCGCTCAAATTTAAAAAAGAAAGAGACCTTCAAACAAACCAAGAATTGTGAGATATACAGAAACAGACATGAATTGATTCTAGTGGGTCAGCAGCTGGAGAGAGCTGCAGGAAATGAATCAGAGGTGGGGACAAGTCTCACACTCTCCCATGATGTTCTTTCTTTGCTTAACCAGCTGTTCCATCGGGTCCAGGCCAGCTGATCGCCACAGCTGTGCAGTGACAGACAGATGTAATGAGACAGACATCGCTGGTTTTGGATCCAGAGCCTCAGAGACATAAATTCCCTTTCTTTCAGATCGAGCGCTTGATGGGACAAGTGTCCCCCCTGTACGCCCCCCACCCGCCCGTGGCCCCCAGGAACCACCACGCGCTCTGTCCCCTGGTGTCCGGAGAGCGCACCGGGCGCTCGCTGCGGGTGAGTGCAGCAGCAATGCATGGCTGCCATGGGGCACAGACAGCTGGGTGTGCCCAGGGACACAGCACAGGGCACTCACTGCCTGGGGCACAGACACTGAGTGTGCCCACAGACCCCAGCACAGGGCACTCACTGCCTGGGGCATTCTGCCATGGGGCACAGACAGCTGGGTGTGCCCAGGGACACAGCACAGGGCACTCACTGCCTGGGGCACAGACACTGAGTGTGCCCACAGACCCCAGCACAGGGCACTCACTGCCTGGGGCATTCTGCCATGGGGCACAGACAGCTGGGTGTGCCCAGGGACACAGCACAGGGCACTCACTGCCTGGGGCACAGACACTGAGTGTGCCCACAGACCCCAGCACAGGGCACTCACTGCCTGGGGCATTCTGCCATGGGGCACAGACAGCTGGGTGTGCCCAGGGACACAGCACAGGGCACTCACTGCCTGGGGCATTCTGCCATGGGGCACAGACAGCTGACAGTGTGCCCAGGGACACAGCACAGGGCACTCACTGCCTGGGGCATTCTGCATTAGGGCCACATCCTTCATCACTTGAGGCTCATTTCCCGTTTGCTGGGTTGGGTTAAGGAATCCCTAGAAGCTAGTGTTGCAGGAATGGCACATCGGAACCCAGAAAAACCCCAGAAACCTTTGCTGTCTGATCAATCTGCTTCAGTCTTTCCCTTTGAGCTGCCTCCTGACCTCAGGCAGGCCACTATCAGTGTGTTTAGTGTTGTCAGTGGGCGCAGGGGCTGCGGACAAGGTTACGCATGTTGTAAAGCCCTGAAAAAGGTGGGAGTCTTTTAGAAAACAGAGCTGAAGGAATGAAATCAGACTGGAGCTCATTTCAGAAGGCTGTGTCTAGGAGCTCTGGCTGTTGCTCTCTGTGAACAGCAAAGAAGGAGTGTTAATATAATGAAAATATACTTGAAATATAATAGTACTAAAGCCTGAAGTCAAAGGTCAAATATCTAGGTCAGTTTCAACTGTTTCTCTACATCAATAATGATAATTGATGCAGATTGAAGAGAAACTTTTGAGTCCTGAATGACCTTTTTTTTCATATAGAGGGGACCCAGACTTAGATTTGATTATGGTGATGGACGTTATTATTTCCGAGCCAAGGAGCCTCCCGTCTCTAAGGTGGTGAGTGAACCTCAGTTCAACAGTGCTGTTGGATGTTAACATTTTAACTTGGTATTCTGAAGGGTATACAAGGAAAACATGAAATAAAGCAGTCAGAAAAATCTGTGAAATTGAACAAAAATGGTACATTTTTGTTGTGCATTCTCCCTGGGTCCACGTGCTGAAGTCACAGCACACTGCTGCAGTTTCTGTGAGTTCATTGTGTTTGCCACAAGACTGCATAGTGAGGAGATAGTAGCAAACCTTGAATTTATGGCCAAGAGTTGTTTTGAATGGTCAGTTAGGGGTGCCTAAAGGGGTCTGGCTCTTTGGAGGCAGACTAGAAAATGTCATGTCCTGCAGGTACCTGTAATCACTCACCACTTCCAGATATCTCCATCAGTGCTATTATTTTTCTTTGTGGTGCTGCTCTGCACTGGGAGCTATACACTGAGATTTTGTCATTGTTTTCTTTCTCCTTTTGTAGAGTTCCTTGTGACCAAATACAGCTCCAGGAAATATACAGGAAATATACCCCCTTCTTGGTGGGGCTGCAGCAGGGTCTGTATCAAAGGCTTCCAAACAGAAGTGCCATGCACTGCAACATTATCAGCAATTTGCCTGTGGGGTGAGGCTGTACTTCATTCTGAAATTAAACTGTCCCACTTTAGGGACAGTTTTGTAATATTGTTTCAGTACTGTGGTTCCCAGAACTGTACATGACAGGGAACATCCCTTTCAAATGGCATCAACTTTTATTTAAACTGTCCTTTTTCACTTCCCCTCAATTTTCAAGACACTGTCTTACTGGTCTAAATCCCAGTTCTTGATCACAGTGAGGAAAAATGTGGTGACTTACCTTTTATAGTATAAAATCTTTCTGCATACAAAATTTTCTCCCTCTATGTAGATTTTCTCTTATGTAGAGAGAGAGAGGCAGCACCTGGTTGACTCCAGAAACTTTGCAATATTTTCAGTTGCAAGTCCTACAAGTTTTCATCATCACTTACAAAGGAGCTGCAAAGTAGCAAAAAATTCCTTTTTTTGATCATTCTTTCTACTAAATCACACTAGTGGGCTTAGAGAATGAGAGTCAAACATGGTCTTGATATATTTGCAGTTACTTTCCAGTGATATTTGGACTTGTCTTCTGTTCTAGAAAAATGTAATTGGTTTTGTGATATGCATTCCATGGGGTGAGAGGGCTTTGGAGTGGGACTGTGATCTGCTACCACTGGTGTAAATAGCTCCCTTCTGATCTGTGCTTGCTGTGTATCTGCATGGTCATGGTTCTTCAAGAATTTGCTGGTTGGTCCTGTTTATGTCTACTCAAATTATGGGCAATATAATGGTTTCTTTAGTGCTCACAACTGACAAAACAGTTGTGAGCACTAAATCAGATGTAATTTCTGAGAACATGATGCAGAACTCAGAGCCACAGCATGCAGCGTTTACAGAACTTGTTCTCTAGTCATGCCTTACTCTTATGGGCTGTGGTCCATTTCATTCTGCAGAGCACTAAATCTGTAGTCAGATGAGCAAGCAGCATTTTGAAGCACATCCTGTATCACTGAGGCCAAGTGATGTTTCTGTTTTCTGTTGGATGACTGGCTGCTCTGGGATGTGCTTTCCAGCTGCAAGGGAGCAGCAGTGCTGCAGGGCTGTGCAGGGTTCTGTCTGAGATGAGATCTCGGTGTGCAGTGCTGTCTGTATCTCTGAAGGTGACATTTTCAAGCAATATGGATGTTGCCTTGCAGATTAAAAGAAAGTGGTTTAGCACAGGAATATTTTCATGAGCAGAATGCCAGGCCCTGGGTCGGGAGCTGTGTCAGAAGGATGCCTGCCCTGGGTCAGGCTGTGTCAGGAGGGTGCCTGCCCTGGGTCAGGCTGTGTCAGGAGGGTGCCTGCCCTGGGTCAGGCTGTGTCAGGAGGGTGCCTGCCCTGGGTCAGGCTGTGTCAGGAGGGTGCCTGCCCTGGCTCAGGAGCTGTGTCAGGAGGGTGCCTGCCCTGGGTCGGGAGCTGTGTCAGGAGGGTGCCTGCCCTGGGTCGGGAGCTGTGTCAGGAGGGTGCCTGCCCTGGGTCAGGCTGTGTCAGGAGGGTGCCTGCCCTGGGTCGGGAGCTGTGTCAGGAGGGTGCCTGCCCTGGGTCAGGCTGTGTCAGGAGGGTGCCTGCCCTGGGTCGGGAGCTGTGTCAGGAGGGTGCCTGCCCTGGGTCAGGCTGTGTCAGGAGGGTGCCTGCCCTGGGTCGGGAGCTGTGTCAGGAGGGTGCCTGCCCTGGGTCGGGAGCTGTGTCAGGAGGGTGCCTGCCCTGGGTCAGGGGCTGTGTCAGGAGGGTGCCTGCCCTGGGTCAGGAGCTGTGTCAGGAGGGTGCCTGCCCTGGGTCAGGCTGTGTCAGGAGGGTGCCTGCCCTGGGTCAGGGGCTGTGTCAGGAGGGTGCCTGCCCTGGACCAGGGGCTGTGTCAGGAGGGTGCCTGCCCTGGACCAGGGGCTGTGTCAGGAGGGTGCCTGCCCTGGACCAGGGGCTGTGTCAGGAGGGTGCCTGCCCTGGGTCAGGCTGTGTCAGGAGGGTGCCTGCCCTGGGTCGGGAGCTGTGTCAGGAGGGTGCCTGCCCTGGCTCAGGAGCTGTGTCAGGAGGGTGCCTGCCCTGGGTCAGGCTGTGTCAGGAGGGTGCCTGTTGCTCGGTGTCAGGGGCTGTGTCAGGAGGGTGCCTGCCCTGGACCAGGGGCTGTGTCAGGAGGGTGCCTGCCCTGGGTCAGGGGCTGTGTCAGGAGGGTGCCTGCCCTGGCTCAGGAGCTGTGTCAGAAGATGCCCGTTGCTCGCTGTACCGGGCAGTCAGACCGTGGCCGGTTCCGTGCTCGGGGTTTTGCGGGAGCGGTGTCCCGTCACTGGGATGTTTTTCCAGAGGCAGAGCAGCGAGCTCAAGTTCCGGAACCCCATGGATTACATGTCGGGCGCGTCCCCGTACCGGCCCAGCAAGCGCCGCCGCCGCCGCGCGGCCCCGGTGCCGCCGCCGCGCCCGCACGTCGGGGACCGCTGCATCCCCGGCATCCGGCGCGGGCTGCCCGTCGAGAGATGGTTCCACTCCACCACGGGCTTCAACGAGCAGTTCTTGATCAACGTGAGTGCTCTCTGTCCCCGTACGGGCGCATTGCATCCCTCACTGGTGTGTTTGCCTGATGCTGAAAGATGTGCATACCTAGTTTGCATAAAGAAAATGTATAACTATTAAAACATATATAATTGCTATGCATGTCCCTGTAAACTAAAACATTTGGTGATTTTCATCAGCTGGGGAGAAAAAAGGGGCTGAACAACAACACAGATTAACAGTTATTCAAAGCCTGCCACTTCAGTCTGTCTGATCCTGTCTCTGGCACTAGAATCTCAGGGATTTGTGAAATGCCTTGAGTCTATGAACACTGCATCAGTTACACTGTCTGCAGCCAGTTTTAACTCCTGTAAATAACGTTGCAGGAACCCTGGACTGGGTGGGATGATATGGGTCATTAAACCTGGCCCTTGAAATCTGGGGCTATTCAGTGCATTGGGTTTTCAGTTGGAAACGTATCCCACACCCTCTGCATGTTACAAACACTTCCCCATTTAATCAGCTCGCCTCTTGTTATAAAAGCCTGGAAGTCTCCAGCGTGAGCTGCACTGATGTGAGCTTTGTTTTTGCCCCTTGTTGGAGCTGGGAGCTGAAGGCATTTCTGTGCATTTTCTGCTGCAGAATACCAATGGGTTCCCCAAGTCCCCATTGTGCAGCAACGCCCTGGTCACCATGATCTACCTGGGAAAGAGTAAGCACGTGTCACTCCGTGATCACAAGGATGAAATCAAAGTCTATCAGCAATACTGTGGAACAGAAAACATTTGTGTCTATAAAGGCGACCTGTTGGAAGGAGGTAAGGATGGAGCCAGAGAGTTTGTATTGATTGTGGCAACATCATTTTTTTGCTAAAACTTTGCCCTGACATCAGAATGATTACAGCTCAGCTTGGTCAAGATGTATGCATCCAGGGATGTTTATACCATCTGCCTCCACATTAGACCTGGATCTACTGTCCCATGATTGAAAGTGAGGTTACAATTGCTTTTGCAATGATGGTAGAAGAACTTAGAGAATTGATTTAACAAAATGCTTGTGGCTTATGCTAATTATCTCTAGAGATATATGGTTAATAGAGCAGCTGTAGTAATAAACTATCCTTAAAGGGGGGTTATCTGAGTTGCTAATATGGGTCAGTGAATGTTGCTTCTTATTCCAGAAGGAAAAGTACATAGTGAGAGCCCAGTTCCCATCTCTTTTTGGGAAGTGTGAGTGCAATTTCATCACAGCAGTAAAAGATGAATCGTGTTCTGGAAAACTGGACATAGGAAATGGCTGGGAGGCTCTGGTCTTTGTCCTGCTGTAGCAGTGAGTGGCCAGGCTGACAGTGTGACACTTGTCCCAGCTGTCCCACCTCAGGATTCTGGGGCTGGCAAGAGCCAGGGCTGTGTGTGTGGAGTTGAACCGACTGTTGGACAGACCTGAGAACCCCAGTGCCTGTCCACAGAGGGTGACGTGGTGATGCTGTGGCGATGCAGTTAAGATAGAGCAGTTGCTACAGGCTGACAGTGAAGCACAATGTTCTTCTTTGAACCCTTTTTTTCTGTGATTGCAGACACCTTCCAGTTCATCTCTAAGAGGTACCTCGGTTACCCGTTCAGCCTCACCTTTTTCCTGAACGGGCTCCAAGTTGACAGGCTGAGCTCTTGCTGTGAGTACAGAGGCTTTCAGACCAAGAGGCCGTGCCGGCTGCAGCGCAGAAACACCTACTTCAGGGTGCTGCACGTGGCAGGAGCCCCTCCTTGCTACAGGTATGGACAGAGCGCGCTTTGCTCACAAGGACTTGACTTGGAGAGTTTCCAGCTTGTTTCTCTTCTTTCGTCTCCCTGGCTCCATCCACGCAGCTCTGTGGAGCCTGCTCTGTTTCTCAGTGCCCCGTGGAAGGGGCAGGGTGGGGGCACTTGTCAGGGCTCCCATCCCAGGGCACCAGCTCAGCCTCCAGGGCTGTGTGCACAATATGGGGACACTGCTTGGGGCAGGGTGGGGGCTCCTGTCAGGGCTCCCATCCCAGGGCACCAGCTCAGCCGGTTCCCATGCTGTGTGCCCCCATGCCCGTGCTGGAGCAGGGGGCAGTGCCTCTGGGGTGGGCTCCATGTGCCACCCGTGTGGCTGTGGCACAGTGGCCGTGGAATAAACACCGAGCGTGCTGCTCCGTTAGCTGTGGTTTCCAGAGGCTTTTTTGGCGATAATTGATTTTTAAGCAGCTCTGCCTCTGAAGTGAGATTCTGTTGTAATAGTCCTAGCTTCAGAATAAGGCAGCACTGAATATTTGTTATGGTTCAGAAGCCAAATCTGTGCAGAAAGGTCTTGGGCAAATGTCAGTGCTGTGACCAACAGCTGTGATTCTGCCAAGAGGCTTTAATTTTCATAAAATCTTCCTTTTCTGTAATTGTTAATTCAGGCCATACATAAACTTACGGACATGTGGATAATTTAAAATCTTCTGTATTATTTTAATAAATATTTTTTAAAAGAGCAGCTAGCAGTTGGAACAAGAGACTCTTCACAGAGGTGTGGTCTGTTCCTTCAGGAAAGGACTAAATTCTTGCAAAAAATGCTAGTTTATTGTACCATAGTTTTTGCTCCAGTCTAACAACAAACATGATTTATGTTCATTGCATGTTCAAAGGAGTGAGAAGCATCTGAATTCAGAATGCCTTAGTGGCTATAGATTTTAGGAAATGCCCCAATCTCAGCTTTTTGTGACTTCTATAAAGATGTGAAGTGAATTTTCAGAATTTAATATAGTATCCAAAAACTGGATTAATTAATTCCTAAGTTACTCTCCCTTTCTGTCCCCCTTTCCCTCTTACACTTAGTGATATCTCTCTTTTCCTGCCTGTTATCAATCCAGCTGACCTTATCTGATGACTAAAAATCATCTCCATTAACCTGATTTTGCCCATAAATGACAACCATTTTCACACCCCTTCAGGCCAAGTGCACTTGGGTTTGTTTTCTGCTCTATGACATACATGGAATGCCCACTCTGGTTCCCAGCTGATTCTCCCTGGTGGGTCGATGCTTTGGCTCACAGCGAGGGGATGCTGCAGTGGTTTCTGTACCACGCTGCATGCCTTGCTCTGAGAGCTTTCTCTGGCCAAGGTCTGCAGTTCTGTGGAGCTCCTGACTGTGAGAGAGGGGGGGGCATATCACTCCATTTTATACAAGAGGGGCAGTCTCGACAACTCATTCAAAATGCTTTGTTTTCCATCTCTTTGGGTTTCTTTTAAGTAGGCAAACAGAACAGAAACAGAAAATTACTTTCTACCTTCTTCTTCCCGCACAGTTCTTAGACCCAGCAGATAAGTACAGAACGCCCGGTGTTACCCACAAACCCTCAGTTATCACACTGCTGGGAGTTACAGCAGGATCTGGGTCCAGAGCACGTCTGCCTTTCTCAGTGGTCCTGTCTTCGCAGCCAATGCTCGGTGCAGCTTCAAATGAATGGGCACCTGTAATAATTTTGGTTCTGTTTGTTGCCTCAGTGTAGGCAGCTTTGCTGTGCTCCAAGGAAGAGCTGCATCTGTGCTGGGGGCGCTCTCGGGGATTTCGGGGCGCTTCTCCTGCGAGCCGCTGAGGCGGGCAGAGGCAGAAGGGCATTGCTGTCCCTGCTAATGACAATCTGAGCTCGCTGTGTCTGCTGCCCTCTCCTGTTCAAAGGAGGAAAAATGTGACACTTCCCAATCTGCGTTATTTTATAGGTGCTTTCTCGCGATGGGTCTGGACAAAAAGCTGTACCCTCCCAAGAAGAAGCTGAAGTTCTACTCGAGGCCGCACATGTGCTCCTGCTCTCCTTACTGCGCGCACAGCGAGCCCTGTGACAGCAACATGCCGCCCAAATCCATTGAGGACTCGGTGTCACTCACCATAGCCAGCCAGGAGGACAGCGTGGACACTATCGACGAAACAGTCGACTCTGAACAGGAGTGCTGCGAGGAAGAGGAAGAAGAAGAAGAAGAAGGAGAAGAAATAGAAGCAGAAGAAGTAGAAGAAGAAGCACAAACAGAAGACCGATCTTTTGTGGAGACTGAAGGCACCACTCAGGAAACCACCACTCAGGGAACCACCAGTGAAAGTGGTACAGTATTCCCAAACATGAGCAGGGGATGAGAAATGGGAGGGGATGGTTCTGGAGGAGGTCTGGGGTTGTGGACTGCCGGCTCTGACTGGGGCATGAGAAACGCGGTGATGTCTGTATCTGGGCCTTGGAACTGGAGGGGCTCCTTTCAGCCATGCCACAGGATGAGGTGGTTTGCAAGAGCCAAGAAAGAGAGTAAGGAAGGGTGGTGAGGCAATGACACAGGATCCCCAGAGCAGCTGTGCCTGCCCCATCCATGGACGCACTCAAGTCCAAGTCAGACGGGGCTTGGAGCAGTCTGGGATAGTGGAAGGTGTACTCAGCTATGGAAGAGGCATCAAGCTCAGTCTCTGCCTTTACTTCCTTCTTATCATAATCTTCTTTGAAGGCAATCACATTCACAGAGAGATTTTAATTCCTACTTCCTATTCCTATTTTTGCTTTCACAGTTCTGCAGTATTGCTACTCATCTGACAGTCGTTAGTCCCTCCGGATGTGTGTTTGGGATTAATGAAGCCTTTTTCCTTCAGGAGGAACTGCCCTTCTGACAGAGACCTCACTGCCAACACTGCAATTGGAATCTCAATTGATTTTTAATACAGAAAAATAAATCTCCTTATTCCCTTAGTTCTCATTGTCTTGGTAATTGTTTGTTTGCCTGACTGGTTCTGCATCAGGAACTCTTCATTTCTGTCCTTGGTGTTCTGTCACTTCCGTGCGTTAAAAGCCCTGATGGAAGGAAGGGAGGGCAGCAATAAAACCTGCAAAGTGAGGAACGGTGTTCCAGCAGTGCAGCTGGTGTGGCAGCAGTGCAGCTGGCCTGCGTGGCGCAGCGTGTTCCAGCAGTGCAGCTGCCCCGTGTGGTGCAGTGTGTTCCAGCAGTGCAGCTGGCCTGCGTGGCGCAGCGTGTTCCAGCAGTGCAGCTGCCCCGTGTGGTGCAGTGTGTTCCAGCAGTGCAGCTGCCCTGCGTGGTGCAGTGTGTTCCAGCAGTGCAGCTGGTGTGGCAGCAGTGCAGCTGCCCTGCGTGGTGCAGTGTGTTCCAGCAGTGCAGCTGGTGTGGCAGCAGTGCAGCTGGCCTGCGTGGCGCAGTGTGTTCCAGCAGTGCAGCTGCCCCGTGTGGTGCAGTGTGTTCCAGCAGTGCAGCTGACCTGCGTGGCGCAGTGTGTTCCAGCAGTGCAGCTGCCCCGTGTGGTGCAGCGTGTTCCTGCGTGCGCAGGGAGCCCGCGGCTGCAGGGCTGCTCTGGATTTTGGGCGGCAATCCCCGACGTGCCCGTGCTGTGCTGGGATGTGCAGAGCGCAGCTTTGGGGCAAGGGGAGCTCTCCAATGCACCTGCATGCAGAGGGTTTCGCCCCCGAGCCAGGCAGAGCGCTGTGCAGGGCGGGAGCTGCACCGAGGGTCCCTGGGGGTCCCTGCCAGCTCAGGGATCCATCAGATGTCCATCAGACGATTACTCTGTGGTCCGTCAGACGTCAGGCTGGTGCCTGCCCGAGTTCCAGAATGTGGATATAGGGGTGGTGATTCTGTGCAGGCTTTCTTTGTGCTGGGTTTTCCCCCGGGTCCTGGAGGAGCATGTTAGAGCGCTGTGATAACAGAGCGCCTCTGCAGTGCCCTTTGGCTGCAGTTCATTAAATTCATTGAGCTTATAAGACACTTCTTTGCTATTCAGCCATGTCAATATACATTTATTGTACTTTGCGGTATAATATATTACCTTTCTCCAGCTTTCTCAATTGCTTTTAATTTCTTTTCATCACATCCAGTTTTTTCTCCTGTTACAAGAGATTCTTACATTTAATTTCTGAGTTTTCCCAGCTCTAAATTTTTCACTTTCCATGGCTGGTAACTTTGTTTATTTTTGGTTTAATGTATTCCTCATACCTTTAGTTTTGCTACATTTTTGCTACTCTATGAAAAACACAATGCTTTTTTATGATAATATGCTCTCACAATTCCTATCTGTGGTCTTAGATTCTCTCATGGCTTTAAAAAGACTGTGCAAATTCAAGGGCAAAAGGAGATTAATGATGTTAATTAATATCAACTCAGAACGTTAACACTGGCTCAGTGTTTCCATCTGCTTAAAAAGAACTTTTTAAATTGTGAATTCTGTTTCCTGTCTCACAGTACAATTCTTCTATTTTAGAATATGATGAAGATTTTGAAGATGAAGAAGTTAATGAAGAGGGACAGATTGGTGATCAAATGAATGGAATGTCAAAGTCATCCTCAAATGATAAAAACCATAATTTAGACTATGGAAAGAAGACTGAAACCTCATCTCAGAAGGCACTGCAGGCCTCTGACAGTGAGAAAGATAGAAGTGGCAGATATTCTGATGACAGGGACTCTGAAGATGATCTACCAGGTTAGTTTTGGTCATGACAAGGCTTGGAGAAGCTGACCTGATGCATGTTTTACAGTTTGCACGTGTCCAGTACGTATGTTGATCTGCATGTGCCCTTCCTACTGAAATGTATTTTATCTGCTATTAATGATGCCACTGAAGTGCAGTGCACTTCTGCATGGATTATAGTTCTGACACTTTTATTTTCTTGGCCTGACCAGATTTTTCGGTCTTGAGTTAGACCAATCTCTTCTTGAACCCTGCAGATTGTGGACAGCAGCAAGGCTGTGCAGCAGGCAGCTCTGCTGTTCAGCTCACTGCCTGATGAAGAATTACAGCCTTTTTTCCCCTCAAACTTTCCATTTATGAATTTAATATGATGGTGCCTGTATGCTTTTCTAGAGGAGACAGTGAACTTCATCTCCAGTTCTACCTGAAGGGTTTACACATATTCAATGAGTTAACAGAAGGGCGCTGAGGGATTGTTGCTGTGGTTGAAGTCTTTTATCTAATGAAGCTGAAGAGTCTGTATTAAACCCTGTCTAAAGCCATATTTAGAGGTGCATTTGGAGATGTATTTCTATGTGATTGATAGAACTACTCTATGAATCTTTGATTTATTTCTATTATCAGAAAAAAACCCTCCATGTTAAATGGTTTAATTTTAATACTTCATACATCTGGGCAATGTTCTTCTATTCATACTTACTGGAATTTTGTCACAATATCCTCATGTGGTATAATTCAGAGAATGCTACTGGATGGGATTGTGTCCCTTTGTGAGTGCCCAGTGAATGCAGAGGTTTAGTGACAAATACTAAATTAAAATTTGCTGTTTTCAGAGAGGAGGCCTGCAGACTCTCTCTCATCCATGAGCACTCAGTGCAGCGCTGAGACTGACTCACAAGCTGAAATGAAGGCAGACCATGAGAATTGCAAAGAGGACTGCAATATCAAAAGTACATCTGATAGTGCAGCACATGCACACTGTGGAAATGAGAATGGGGAGAAGAAACTGCTCAGAGTGGAGGAAAATCAAGAGAATTCTGCATTGGAAAAGAAAGGAATAGATGAAGCAGACAAGACAAAACCAGAAGATCTAACAGCAAGGGAAGATACTAGAATTTTTCATGAAAACATAAGGGCAATGCAGCATCAAAATCCTGAGGTTAACGGGGAATTCAAGCAGACTGGGTCAGGAGAAAGTGACATGAATGAGGAGGAGGAACGTCCTCCAGTGCCTTGGGACAGCAGGGTATTGAGCAAGGAGGATGGCAACGAAGAGCCTCCCTGGCGTGAGGAAGGAGGGGGTGAGTACAGTCCCTCTGCACAGCTCTGCGTGCCTGTGCTGCTCTGTTTGCCTTGCACTCATCCGTGCTGCAGCTGCTGTGGGCTCAATACCCACTCACAGCATTAACACTGGCTCAGTCTGCTAGTGCTTAAAGTGAAAGGATTTGGCCAAAAATGAATTTTAAACCATTTTAAAGCTGAGATGGCTGAATGGTTTCTACTCCCTTTTCCCTCTTTAATGATTTCTCTTTCTTGCTTCCTGTTTTCTTTGTAATAGTTTTTGAAGACTGCAAACCAGTCCAGGAGGAAACAGCCAAAGCAACTGGAAATGATCATCCTGTGAATTCTGACCCCGAGCCTGGTGATTTGTGTGCCAATGAGGAAGAAAAGAATGTAGCAAATACAGAGCATGGTGCCAGTGGAGGTAAGATTGGCTGTCAGTCAGACGCAAGGATTACCTGAAGTCTTGTAATGGAAGTGTTTGCCCTTTCCCTTTCCTTTGGCTATCAAAGTCTCCTTGTGCTTTTTTTCTTACCTAACTTGTAAAAATCAGGTGATGACTAGGTGGCATCTGTAGTCATGTATAATGAATGCTTTTTTTGGCCGTTAAATGGTTCTAGGAGAAGAATGCAGGCCATGAAACAACTGTGAGTCAGAAAATGGCTGTGGAAAGCAGGAATGTAGTGAGGTACCATGTGCTTCCTGGTAGTGTGCAGCCTCCTTGGGAAATGCCGTGGTTCCCAGGGGCAGGAATTAACCCTGTATTATTCCCTGGTGTAATTACAGAATCCACAATTCTTTGTCCTTTCTGTGCATATTTCACATGAGCAATTTGTCGGCTATTTCTGACTTTCTGAGTGTCACTGTCAAGCTTACACATGAGCTCCCTGCAGGTAGGTAGGGAGGCAGAGCAGGCAGGACAAGCATGACTGGCCTTGCATCAACACTTTTAGTTAAATTCTTTATGCCAGATGCCAGAACAGCAGTAGTCAATCATGGTCAGAGTGCAGGGATGTGATGAGCAGCAGCACAGCAAGGTCTCTGTGGGTGCCCAGGCTGCTGTCCCTCATGGCTGGGCAGCAATGGCACCTTTAGCACTAACCCTGTGGAGCGCGCAGCACTCAGGCAGGCTGCTGAGCAAACCAATGTCTGATTCTCTCCCAACAGCAGCAGATGGAAGGCTCCTGGCAGGAGGGAGGAGAAGCCTGGATGTGCAGGAGGCAGCGGCACGAGCAGGGGAGGCCACGGGGCCGGGACAAGCCCCGGAGCAGGACGGGGCTGCTGGGGGAGATGCTGGCAGCGGAGAGGCCGCAGGAAAAGCTGCAGGGGCAGGGGATGCACTGCCCCAGGCAGGCACGGGGGCTGCGCTGGGGGAATCTGCGCCTGAGGAGGGCACCGAGGCACAGGAACGGCCCCGAGGAGAGGGAACAGGGCCGGCAGTGGAGCTGGGCACAGAGGGGCCAGCTGGGGAGCAGCGGGTGCTGGAGGAGGGCACGGACAGAGAGGTGGCACTGGGCAAGGCAGCAGCTGGCACAGAGGGGCCAGCTGGGGCACTGCCAGGCGGGGAGGCACACAGAGCCGTGCCCCAGGGGCAGGACGGGGCTGGGGGCACCGCTGAGGTGGAGGCTGCAGATGAAGGCCTCAAAGGAGCAGAGGAGGAGGTGGGCGAGCCAGTGTCCGAGGCAGGGGAGTCCCTGGGGCAGGGAGGGTCTGCAGGGAAGGACACGACGGTGGCGGCTGTGTCAGAGGGAGAGGACGCTGGGGAGGATGCTGGTGTGGCAGCTACAGATGGGAATGCCAGAGCTGTGGGCCCTGAAGGAGTAAAGGCTGTTGATGAAGACTTTTCTGAAGGGGAGGAGGCTTTGGGGAAGCCTGGGGCTCTCTGGGAAGCACTAGGGGATATGGAAACAGGAGAAGTAATGTCTGGAGGGAAAGGGTTTGTTAAGCCAAGTCAGTTTTCCCAGCTGAAAGGGTCAGAGAAAGAGTGGCTGGAGATGGGGAAAGCTGTCCCAGGAGCTGCAGCAGCACTTGAGAGTGCTCAGGCTCTCCAGAGAGTGGAGGACGCGAGAGCAGAGTCTGTGGAGGCTGACAAGGGTCCTGCACTGGAAGTGGCACCTGGGTTAGGGGCACTGGGGGCTGCTCGGGGGGATCCTGTCACTGAAGGGTCTTCACAGGTGGAGGAGACACGGGCAGTGCAGGAGGAGGGCGCAGCAGAAGCACTTTGGAGTGGAAACCCATCTGAGGGCAGCGAAGCAGAGACAGAGAGAGCAGTGGGAGGAAAACCCGAGGGAGAGGCGGCGGGAGGGTCTGCAGGGGCGGCCGGAGCGGGCTCGGGGCATGAAGAGGAGGCCACAGATGGAGCAGCAGGTTCAGAGGAGCCGGCAGCGGGGGCAGAGGGGTGGCTGAGGTGTGGGCAGGTGGGAGGGCAGGGGAGGTGTCCCGGGGAGGGGGAGCCGGGGCTGGTGGCCATCGCAGTGCTGGGCGGGCAGGCCGGGCCCGGAGCGCTGCCCGGGGCGCCGGCAGGGCCCGGGGAGCCGGCAATGCCCGCCGGGCCCGCAGTGCCCGGGGCTGGCGGGCTGGGCACTGGGGCCATGGCACAGGCCGGGGTGGCGGCAGCGGCGCCGGGGGCACAGGGCGGGGCAGGGGCACAGCCGGTGTCGGCGGCGGGCCGGGAGCCGGGAGGGGCCGGGGAAGGGCCGGCCGGGGCACCCGCGGCTGCTGGGCCTGAGGGGCAGCGGGAGGCGGCGGCGGGGGGCGAGGCGCGGGCCGCGGGGCCCGCCGGAGCGCGGCAGCCGGAGCCGGGCACGGAGCCGCTCGGGCACCCAGCGGGGCTCGGAGCGGGGGCGCTGGGGGAGCAGGCCGCTGCACAGACCCCCCCGAGCGGCCCCGGGCACGGGGGAGTGGCGGCGAGGGCGAGAGGAGCGGGAGGCGAGGGGCTGTGCCCGGGCACCCCGCCACAGCCGGCAGCGACAGGGACAGCGCGGGGCGGGCACGGGCGGCAGGAGCCGGGCATGGAGCGGGATGCAGGGCAAGCCGGGGACGAGCAGCCGAGTGCCCCTGAGAACAGCAGAGAGGGCGAGGTGGCCGCTGTCTCGGCCAGCGCCGGGCCTGCTGCCGCAGCCGCGGAGCCAAGGAAGGACGGTCCCGTCGGAGGGAGCCCGGCAGCCGCTGACGGGGGCGACAGGAGCCGCAGTTCCCGTCAGGTGAGTCCTGCCTGGGGCAGCCACTGCCCCCAGCAGTGCCCAGGCTGATTCCTGTCACAGACGGGATGCGCCACCTCGTCCCATTCCTTGCCCGTTCCTCAAATGTCTGCTGACGGTAGCTGGGTCAAGGGATGAGAAGTCCTTTTGAGTGGCGGCTTCTGCGTTGTTTCCTATGCCCCAAATCGCGTGCAAATAAATCCCTTTGCTGTGGCACTAATTCTCACAGCCCTCCGCCCTCCCTCCCCTCCGGGAGCGTGTCGCAGTTCTGGTGGCAGGGGTGAGCCCTGGGAGCACTCGGCTTCCCTGTGACTCCGGCCTCTCCTTGTAAATGTCACAGCTGTACCTCAGCAGCTCCGAGTTCAGCACGTTTTCTGTGATGTTTGGTTGTTGTTTTGTAGGATAGTGCAAACCCAGACCCACTCATCATGTCCTCAGAAGAGGATGGGGAAGAAACCCTGCTCTGAGCTTTTCCTGCAGCCCCTCGGTGTTGTGTCCTGCCACATGCTCTCAGCGCACCGCGGGTTTGTGCCGGCTGGGATGTCGCTCCTCTCTCTCTTCACTCTGTGAATAGCGCAGCCGCCTGTCACGTTTCACTGGAGCAGCTCCTCAGCGTGCAGCAGACAACTGGAACAAGCTTGTGTCTGCCAGCCCGGGAAAGCAGCACTCCTTTGGAAGGACGAGGACAGTAATCACAAGGATTGTTCCACAGCTGTCTGCCTTGTTTTTCTTGAAAACCAGAGAAGTACTGGGCTGACTGAACTTCCCCTCCTCCCCTAGGCACCGCTTGTTCCTGCAGGCAGGCAGGGCTGTTATCCTGGCATCTTCCCCACCCATGCCAGGGCAGGGGAGCCCTCCTGCTTGCACAGTGCCCCCGTGCCAGGAGCGTGTGGGGGGCTTCCCTCCCCTTGGGCATCCAGGCTTGCTGCTGGCCACACTCCAGGGCATTCTCAGCACGTGGAAACGTTGAAATTTGTTAAATCAGAACAATTGCAACAGGTATTTGTAAATGCATAAAGCTTGGCCTTCTGCTTTTGCTGGAGTCACTCAGGAGGAGCCAGTGGAGCCTCAGCTGAGGCTGCCAGGAGGGTGGTGAGTTTAGAGCTGTCTCAGCCTGGCTGCCCTTCCCTGCTGCCCAAGGCTCTTCTCAGCTCTGCTGCGCCTCTGGCAGCGCTGAGGCCCCAGGACCCTTTTGGGCCAGGCAAAATCCCTTCGGGGCTGGGTGTGCAGCAGCCCGTAGGCACTCCGAGCTTGGTGGGTGCAGCAGACTCAGCCCCGCAGGGTGGGGACTGTAACTGCCTTTTCAAGGAGGGAAAAGACACTGAAATGAGCAGGATTTTGAGTGGATTGGTGCTGTGAGTCACTTCAGATCAATAGACACGGAACTGGAAACTCAAACGTGATCAAGTGGTTGCTGTGTGTTTGCTCCTAGAGACATTCCTGTACTAGAGCTGCTTGCATGTGTGTGTTTAGTCTGCACATGTCTCAGAGGGTTGTGCTTTCTCTGTCCATACCCATGCCTACGTGTTCACTCAGGCCTATTAAATACCTGTACCAGTCTGTGCAGCTCCTTCAGTTTGTGCCAGGGGTTTAACTGTAGGAATAAGCCCTGCCAGTGCAGCAGGGCCTGAGCTCCAGTGTCCACCTCTGGTTGCCAATGGGCTGACTGATGCTGGGGTGAGTGTTTGTGCCACTAAAGCTGCCTTGTGCAGGTACCCTCTAAAGCTCACGCCCAGGGCTGCAGGTGTGGCCACACCTGGGTGTTCGGACACGGGACTGGCAATTCCCGGGGACAGGTGAGCAGAGACACAGAGGGATGCAGGGATTTGCCTTGGCAGAGATTCCCTGGGAGCCCCTCTGGGGCTGCAGGAGAACCAGGGCATCAGAGAAGGCCTTGGTGAGCAGAGCAGTGTGACTGTAAGGAACTGGAATGCTGACAGATCATCATTTAACAGTCTTGAAATATTTATAAGTGACACTTATGTGTATGGTTGTAACAGTTGGGGGAAAGAATCCTGTGGTTAGGAACATATATGTGGACTTCCAAAATGTTAGTGTCCCTGTCACTTGAGCAGGCAGAAGTTTGGTAATAAGCAAACCCATGGAAATGGATAATTGTATAGGTTTGGAAAAGCTTCCCATAGTCCTTTCTGCTTTCCTATATTGTACTAATTAGTAATTAACTTCAAAATGAAAAGTAGGTTGCACTTAGGGAAAAACAAGATGTGCAGCAAAAAGAAAAAAAGACTAATTATTAAAGTGAGCATATGTGAGCAAAGCAAACTATCCAACAGTGTTGCCACTGGCAAAACTCATTCTTGGCTCATCAGGAAGGCTTTTTTAACTCCCTGAAGTGTCAGGTATTTTCAGTTGCCTGTCATTGGCTTCTGATGGTTGTGCCTCAGATGTGCCTCAAACAGCTGGAACCTGGTGACATTCCACAGCTGAAGAGATGCATTGAATCAGTTCAAAACCATGCCAGCTGTGCACCGTGGACACAGGATGGGAAAAGTCTAAAGTCTAGCTCCTGGAATGGGCACCAAGCCCTGGCATTGCTGGCAGATACGTGGAACAGTGACTCACAGACACCACCAAGGATGCTGGGGGTGCACAGCATGGGCAGCTCATCCATCTGTCTGAAACGAGGGCTGCAGGGTGGGTTTCCTGCCTGGGAATTGCTGCGTGGCTTTGGGGCTCAGCTGTACAAACCAGACAGGACCAACTCCTCTGCCTGCCCATTGGGGCTGAGCCTCTGAGGCAGCCCCTCTGTGCTGTGCCAGCCATGCAGTCCTGGCTGGGCTGTGCTATCCTGGCTGTCCTGGCTGTGCTTCCTGGCTGTGCTGTGCTATCCTGGCTGTCCTGGCTGTGCTGTCCTGGCTGTGCTGTCCTGGCTGTGCTGTGCTGTGCTGTCCTGGCTGTCCTGGCTGTGCTATCCTGGCTGTCCTGGCTGTGCTGTCCTGGCTGTCCTGGCTGGGCTGTCCTGGCTGTGCTGTCCTGGCTGTGCTGTGCTGTGCTATCCTGGCTGTCCTGGCTGTGCTGTGCTGGCTGTGCTGTGCTGTGCTGTCCTGGCTGTCCTGGCTGTGCTATCCTGGCTGTGCTGGGCTGTCCTGGCTGGGCTGTCCTGGCTGTGCTGTCCTGGCTGTGCTGTGCTGTGCTGTGCTGTGCTATCCTGGCTGTCCTGGCTGGGCTGTCCTGGCTGTGCTGTCCTGGCTGTGCTGTGCTATCCTGGCTGTGCTGTGCTGTGCTATCCTGGCTGTCCTGGCTGTGCTGTGCTGGCTGTGCTGTGCTGTGCTATCCTGGCTGTCCTGGCTGTGCTGTCCTGGCTGTGCTGTGTTGTGCTATCCTGGCTGTCCTGGCTGTGCTATCCTGGCTGTGCTGTGCTGGCTGTGCTGTGCTGTGCTATCCTGGCTGTCCTGGCTGTGCTGTCCTGGCTGTGCTGTGCTGTGCTGTGCTGTCCTGGCTGTGCTGTGCTGTGCTGTCCTGGCTGTCCTGGCTGGGCTGTCCTGGCTGTCCTGGCTGTGCTATCCTGGCTGTGCTGGCTGGGCTGTCCTGGCTGTGCTGTGTTGTGCTATCCTGGCTGTGCTGTGCTGTGCTGTCCTGGCTGTGCTGTGCTGTGCCATGCTGGGGAATGTTGGGACCTGCTGCTGGGCTCACTTCTGGCTGCTGTCCAAACCCTTGTCTGGTTGGACGCCAGATTGTTTTAATCTAGATCACCTATTGCTGATATGTTAAACCATTTAAAATATCACTACAGCTGCCAGGCACTGGCAGGTCTCCAAAACAGGGTAAGAATCCTCTTAGCATCTCATTCTTGGTAAATATTTTGGAGTGCTGGGGCTTCTCTGGGAACAGCACAGGCTATTTGCACTCTCACAAACTGCTTTGGAACATGTTCTACTCATTTACATATTTCAGAGTTTTTGTTTGTTTCACTAAGTGATCACGCCTATGAAACATGTTTTCCCCCTGAGCCTGATTTTCTGCTATAGAGAGCAATTAACTAAGACATTGTATCCTTCAAGGAACCAGTAATTTTAATTAGTATTAAAATTAGTTGCAAGCACTTGTCTTTTTAAAGAGCTTTTAAACTAAAAAAGTTTTGCATTCTGATTTTTTTGTTGTTGTTGTTTCCCTGTGTTCCCCTCTGACATGTTCTGAGAAGGTGCTCAGGGATGACACCAGCAGCTCAGGTATCAGTGAGTACACAGAGGTATTAATGCCCATGAAGTCTGCTTCCTTTCTCCACTTTTATTTTTCTAATCCAGTTTAGTTTCTGGTTTTCAGGCCCAGTCACTGAATGCAGAGTCACTGCCTGGTTACTTTAGCAAGGGAAAAAGAATGCAGAGATATTTGTAAGATACCTGTTGAAAAACAATCTGTGCTGGAACTGATGTTTCAGATATGACAGTGGATCCTTTCTGCACCAATGGTGTTTCTGGCCACAGCAAAAACCAAGGAATGAGACCTTATCTCTACCCACCCTCTTCCATCAGCCTCTTCCCTGCCTGTGCTGCTGTAGCTCGGCCATGGGGAGCAGATCATCATCTGGCCAATTAGAGTCAGGCAGGCAATTTTCATCAGCATCCCAGATGCAGCTTCTCCCTTCTGCTCTGCCCCTCTTCCCTCACAGCATGCAAACTGCCAGCCTTGCTTGTACTCCTAGAAAAACTACAACAGATTGCCTCCAGTTGTAGACAAATCTGGATGTTGTGTTGTTGTGGTTTGCTGGAGCTTTATAGTTCCTCTTGTTCAGCCCCTTCCATGGGAATCTCGTGACTTCCTGGAGCGTGCAGACAGGGCCCAGCAGGGTCCTGGTGAGCCCCATCCCAGGCTTTCCTGTGTATTTATTATGGCATTTCTAGTGTCCCAGCAGCTGCTGGTGTAAATGGAACAGCACCTGAGACATGAGCCCAGTGGAGCAGTGGTAATCACTGACTGGTACCAGGGGCAGTGCTGGGAGAGCTGTGACAGAGCTGTAACAGCTTCCTCCCAATCAACTTTTCAGCAAGTGAAACAGAACAAATGGAAAATGACCTCTGAGCTTTACTTACTGAAATCTTCCCCATTTTTATTGCTTCAGCACTATTGAAGTAATGGCAGGTGTGCCACTGTCAGAGCCCACCATGCAGTCATAGCTCATGTCTGTCACACTGCTTGAGGCCTCTTTGCAGACCTGCTTCAGGGATCATGGCTGCAGAGAAACAACATCCTCAATAACATCTCAGAGCCCTGCCATCAATGGGAAATACTGATTCCTGCTCAGCCAGGAAGGCAGCTCTGCCTTGGCCACACAGACAGTATTGCAGATAACTTTTGTTACTTTGAAAAAAAGACCCCAGAAAATATCAGCGTGATTAACTTTGTAATTGCTGCTAGAGGAAGAGTTCAACTTCTGCTGACCTGCTTCTCTTCTCTTTTTCAATGCCCCTTGGTCAGAGGTGGTGCTGCAGGGCACGGGGTGGTCAGCTGAGGGAGGTGCAAAAGCAGAAAGCAGGACAGGGACATTTGTCATCACCACCAAAGCTGTTCAGCCCGGGGATGGCAGTGCGACACTCGGGGCCCCGCGGTGATGCCGGGCTGGGGCAGGTGGGCGCTCCCTCCCTCAGCTGCTGTCCTCCAAGCTGCTGCTGCAGGAGTGGAACCTCATGGTGCTCAAGGGGTCCGACACGTAGCCTGCAGAGCAGAGAGGGTCCCTGCAGCTGGCACAGAGCGCTCCCCAGCCCTGCAGTGCCAGCACGGCAGCCCGGCCCGTGCCCCCGCAGCGCGGGGAGCGCTCTGCAGCCGCTCACCGTTCTTGTCCACGGGTGGGTACTGCAAGGTCCTCCTCAGGTCATCCAGAGACAGGCCCTGAGAAGGGGGCTGCCCACTGCTGCAATTTAAACAGGAGCTGTCAGTTTGTAAGACTGACGATGGCACATCTCCAGACCATGAGAACTTTTTTTCCAGAGTGGAAGGAAAGACCATGAGACATCAGCCTGGGGCCTGGCCACAGCAGTGCAGTAAACAAAAAGCAAGAATAAGTCATGAAGCGAGACCATGACCCCCAGGGCTTACTGGCACACAGTTACCTTCTCAGAGTAACTGCCCTCAAATACTCCATTTGGGGCTTCACAACTGTCTCTGGATTGCCATCTTGGAAACAATTCCTGACATCAGTCCAGGGTCATTGACATGTATTTTATGTGGCACTGCTATAAGGTTCTTGCAAATACATTTCTCAGGCAAAGAAGATGGTGGAATTATCTTCCAGTCATGGACAAAGCCCACTATCCTGCTAACATGTGGTTCATCCCTGATCCTAGAGATGGGAGTTGCTATGCTTGCCCTTGAAACCAGTTCTTAATGGTACAATAATGTAGATCCCATGTGTGTCCCTACCTTAAAAATATCAGGCATTCTTACTGTTCTGTAGTCATAAAATGAGTGATACCCAGCTTTTAGGATGTACCCTGGTAGAACCAGTCCCAGCAATGCTGACTGCCACAAACCTCTGTCAGGCTCTTCCTTACATAGTTGTCTCCTGCCTCTGTACCTGCTGCAAGGCTCTGGATTCTGTCTTTCTGTCTGTCCACCTGCCCCTTCCCTTCTCAGCAAGGACACTTTCACCTTGCCCCACTGCCCTCCCAATGGAGCCTGCGCTCTGGGATGGACAAGCTGATGGCACAGGTCCAGTGCTCTCCCCTCCTGCCACGCCACCTCCCAGCAGCACAGCCTGCTTCTGTCCTTCAGTCGTGTCAGGGGAGCCTGAAGAGCACGGTGGCTCATACCCACCCCTGTGCCCAGGCAGCCCGGGTGTTGGGTACCCACCCCGTGAGCAGCCGGGGTGTTGGTTCCACACCCACCCCGTGCCCAGGCAGGGTGTCCCGTACCCACCCCGTGCCCAGGCAGGGTGTTCTGTACCCACTCCGTGCCCAGGCAGGGTGTCCCGTACCCACCCCCGTGCCCAGGCAGGGTGTTCTGTACCCACTCCGTGCCCAGGCAGGGTGTCCCGTACCCACCCCGTGCCCAGGCAGGGTGCCCCGTACCCACCCCTGTGCCCAGGCAGGGTGTCCCGTACCCACCCCCGTGCTCAGGCAGGGTGTTCTGTACCCACTCCATGCCCAGGCAGGGTGCCCCGTACCCACCCCGTGCCCAGGCAGGGTGTTCTGTACCCACCCCTGTGCCCAGGCAGGGTGCCCCGTACCCACCCCGTGCCCAGGCAGGGTGCCCCGTACCCACCCCTGTGCCCAGGCAGGGTGCCCCGTACCCACCCCGTGCCCAGGCAGGGTGTTCTGTACCCACCCCTGTGCCCAGGCAGGGTGCCCCGTACCCACCCCTGTGCCCAGGCAGGGTGTCCCGTACCCACCCCGTGCCCAGGCAGGGTGCCCCGTACCCACCCCTGTGCCCAGGCCGCGCAGGCCCGCGCGTTCACGGCGTACTCCAGCTCGAAGCGGGTGCGCAGCGCGGCCACGTGGCTGCGGCCAGGCCCACCCCGGGCCACCAGGCAGTCCGAGGAGGACGAGGGAGACAGGGACCCGCTGCTGTTGCTGGAGGCTGGAGACATTAACTGGATTAAAAAAAAAAATTTAAATATTTTTATTTAAATACCATTGTGGCATATTTACAAGTCCTTCCTCATCTCTCTCATTAGTTGCATCCCACTTTCCCCTGGACTTTTGCAGCCGCTCCAAAGCCACCGCTGTCCCCGGCTGCTGCCACTGTCCCTGTGCCCACTGGCACTCCCATCTGCTCGCACACACACAGACCTGCCCTGCTGGCAGCCAGGTCCTTACCTCAATATTGCACAGACACTCCTCTAACTTTGTGACAACTTC